CGGTGAAACTCGTCTGAGGATACACACGAACCAATCTTTGAGCTCTTATAACCTCCTAATTAGGCCGTTTTCCGGCCTAATAATGCCAGATATGGTATCCGCGGGGGTCTCAAATTCATCCTGAGGAGGGATCTCAGAAATCATTTTTATCGTGAACTGTGCCTTCAAAAAATGAAAACATCGATCAAATACACTCACCTTTTACCATTTTTCATCCACAAAATGTCGGGGAGAGGAGCACCGGTCACGACACACGTGAGAACCATCTCAGCACCTTTCGGTATCTCAAATGATAATAATCAAAATTGATTTGAGGACAGAAAATGATAGCTCTGAAAGAAGCGATTCGATGAAATACACACTTCCCGAGGATTGGCTAGAGGCATTCGGAACCGTGGCGCTTTCGTGTGGTCAACTTTCCTCGCCCTCTGGAATCCTTTTCCTTCCACCCGCACAGAACATACACATTGAGCTTTACCGACAACGTTTCGTGCAACACATCTGAAGAGCCGGAACAACTGTATACAGCTCTTCTGGGTTACATTTCCTTACTTGTAATCTCCCTTATCTGTCCGCTGAACATTCATGATTGATAGATAACAATTCCGCTTCTCGTCATCGTACTGAGGTCGATAATGGTCACTGTAATGGATTTCGTCGCCGTCATGGTACCTTAAAATGTTCAGTTACTTTAATTCTTATAGAACGACATTGGTAGTACCAAGAAATAAAGCTTCCACAGATACTTCTCGGCTGTCTTAGTACTTCATGGGAGAATGGCAAAACTGTTGTAGGTACGATGTAACAACGTACGGTCGATGGGTTCAAGATCCAAATTGGTCACGGTGAATTGTAGATAAATGTTGGAAAAGTGAAAGGGAACGCAACAGATTCAGTGAAAGGGAATTGCTTTTATACCACTGTAAAGTACGACGTAGGCAGATAGACAGGGGTAATTCAACATGGCCATTACAAGGGGAAGCAGCGATGGAATGCGCAATGTTAAAGGCACAGTTCACGATAATAATGGTTTCTGAGATCCCCCCACAGGATGAATTTGGGGCCCCTTCATACACCACATGTGGTACAGGTAAGGGCTCGAAATTGCCCCGTGTGCATCCTTGGACGAGTTTCACCGGCATTGTAGAGGTTGCACCGTTCACAAGGGAACCCACGTAGGCAGTTCAAACAACTTGTCATGACCCTTAGCGACAATGAAAGACAGTTCTGCACAGTTNTGGCTTGACGTAGTCAGCTCTTTGTGCAATTGCAATAACTGAAATCTCGCCCGAATACCCCCTCCATGTTATTTCCGTCATGGCAATCTCGTCCAAACCCCATTTTCCCTGCTTTTGAGAAGCCATATTTTTCTCGAAATCGGCGAATTCTCTCGCTTTCTCCAGTACCAATGAACTACTCCCAATCTATCTTTCCGCTTTTCGAGTAAAAAAGGATACCTCAAAATTTTCGTGAACTGTGCCTTTGAATCTTTCAAACATATTGAGAAATGTTCACTTACCAGACAATTTTAGGTGGGGGATTTGCAGTGACTTTGACATTCAATCGCAACAGCTCGCCCTCTCCACACCGAATGTCTTCGAGAGGATAGTCGAAAGTTGGAGCCACGTAACCGTCCGGAACCAGTACCGTCAAAGAGCATGAGCTTTCACACTGTCCATAGGGGTTCTTTCCAACAGCCCTCCACTCTCCTAAATCAAAATAATTGTTCGCTGTGGCGTTCTTCCCACCTGGGATTTCACCTTAAGCATTGCTTTTGTCGTGGAAAACTGGAAAACATGAAAGATATTATGTCAATTAAAATGGCAGTCGGAAGTATTTTAAGATTTTCGGCGAAACTCTCCATATTCAACTTGGCAGCGTTATTGCGAATATTTTGTTGCTGTAGCTAGCGCAAGCATCAAAGTTTGGTAACTCGTCCACCCAAGACATTGTGAGGGAATCACCCGATTTCGAACACTTGTAATGCTTTTCTCGAACTATTTTCCGGCGTGGCAACATCATAAGCCCCCTGGTCGAGTGGCGGAACTTGGGCCCTGATTCACACGGCCGCAGGCACTTTCATGGAAGTTACCGTAATCACGCAGAAGATCCCACTCCTCTCCTTACCTCCCATCCCCGCCGACGGCCTAGGCTTCCTCCCAGTTTATAAACTACAGATCTCACTTAGTCGCAAAGCGTAACAACAAACAAACCTTGGTCATCCAAGCAGACAGTGAGAATAGTGAGCTCGTATCGGCCTTTGTCATGCTTGAGTAGATAATCAGGATCGTTCTCAAAGATACGATCCCCATTGTGGTACCATTCAACAGACGGCTCGGGAAGCGTTGTGTTCGTCACACATAGAATCTTTTGCTTTCCGACTTTCACTGAGCAATCAGTCAGTCGATGGTGAAATGCAGGAGGTGAGCCGTCGATTTCAACTCCTTCGTGTGTGATCTATAACGAGTTAATGTCCGAGCAAATCGTTTAGAGTAAGCGTGAAGTGTGAACCAAAACTGTTTGCTGCTTTACAATTTCGAAAGGAACTATTCAAACCTTAATGCTGTTTCCTTTACGAAGGTTCATCGATGGAGTGTCAACCTGCCGTCCTGCTACAGTCAAAGTGGCTCTGGTAGCGATGGAGCCGAGCTCATTCGTTGCGCGACAACAGTATTGTCCAGCGTCTGATTCCTCGATGTTCTTGATGGTCAGCTCACTGAGACCTTCAGAGTACCGCGCTTCATATTTAGTCGATGGAGTCAACAACTCTTTGTCGTCCTTGAACCATGCTATCTGAGGTTCAGGATTTCCCTCAAGGTCGCAGGATAGGGTGGCAATCAGGTCTCCAACATTAGCAACAATGTCCTCCAGTTGCTTCTTCACCGATGGAGCGCATTCCGTCTCTGAAATGAAGCCTTCATTAAATACATGGAGAATATCACAACATATTTGGTCGAATGATTTTTGTTGAAATCATCGAACGCTCTTTTATCGCTTGGAATGAATGGAAGTAGGATTTCCGGGCACTGAGATGAAGTACGTTCTGAACAGGGCTCCCGAGCTTTTCTATTCTGCGATGGAACCTAATTCAGCCATTTCAGCCACCAATTTAGTGCCGTTAATCTACTACTTTTATGAGCAGCGTATCTTTACACTGACCGAAACAAATATTCCTCTCGAACACTCCATCCATGGTGAGCCGCCTGAATATGGCCCCTCGGTTCGCCAGACGTCCGATTGGAAGTAGGTCGTCTGACCATCTCTGGCGCGACATGAAATTCTTCTTTTGCCTAGTTGGCAATGGTCCAGTTCCTTCAGCAGGCTGTGTTTTCTAAAAGAGTAATTGGAGCAATCAGAAGAGATATTCATAGTGGGAGAGAATTGAAGTACTCACTTTGACGTATTCGGATAAGTCGTTAAATGCAGAAAGAAGAGGACCCTGAAATATTGACAGTTGAAAATAAAATTGGCTGAACTGTCATTGGGATATCAATTTAGCATTCCATCAAGTTCATCTAGTAGAATTTTGCAGCTTTTACAGATAGAAACCAATCGAAATTTTGCTCAAGTGTTGTCTTCATCGATAAGCAGGAATACCCAGTTCTTTGGACACCTCTTTTGCACTCTTTTGTGCTAACAAAAAGAAAATATATTGAAGGTTCTGAACCAGATAATGCCTACAATAACACTGAGCGAAATAACCAAAAATCAGTAAAACAAGAAACTTCCGACTTTGATGCCGGCAACACGACCTCCATCATCAGGTAAGCTAAACTTAAGGGAGCGGAGACTTAACTCAGTCGTTCATCAATCATTGTAAGTAAGGAGCTTCACTGGGAGAAGGGCAGTAGGCTTTGGATAATCGATCCGCCGCACGCGGCCGTCGCGGACCATTTGCCTCATTGTAACAGTTCTAGCGTTCTTCAAACAGCTCAATCGCTATGCGATTTTTTCTTTTCGCATGATTCTAGTGATAATTCTTTTAATCTGCATTTTTTACTTCTGCTGCCTTCTGCTACATTTCTTCGCGCGCGGCGTCCCTGTCGCTGCGACGCGACAGTTTTGTTCCTACTGCACCACACTCAGCTTCGCTAGCTCACGTGATCGAAAAGAAACATGATGAACTTCATTATCTATTCAATGCTAAGGGCATCCTTTCTGCACGGTATTAGAATCACTTCAAATAGCAGGAACGACTGCTTTCACATCACAATCCTACCCTCAACATCGTTCTGCAATCAGGCAGTAACTGTTGCCTTTTGGTTTTCCAGAAAAAGAGTTCATAAACAACGAAGATGCTGACGTACCGTAATCCATGGATGATGAAGGGCTTCCTGCACAGTCATACGACGACGTTTGTCTTTAGCCATTAGGCGACAGATAAAATCCTGAACGTCATAAATTTCCTCGAAGTTTTGAAAAAACTAAGAAAAAATGTCGAGGGTTCACCTTAGCGATGTCAGAGACATCATCCCACGATGGATCGTCGAAATCCCAGTCGCCAGCGGAAACATTAGCCAACGTCTCATCGTCCGAATCGCCAAGAAATGGTGACAAGCCGGAGAGTCTTAACAATATTGCCTACAGTGATAACAACATATTTCGGGAAATTCTCTTTCGTGGAGACACCACAAAAACAATAAAAACTTTCTAATAAGCAGAAAGATGCTTGCTTATTATAAGGAAACACTTACAAAACATAAGTAATCACTCCTATTGTCCACATATCCGTACTAAGGCCGACTGCTTGGTAGTTGACAACTTCAGGAGCACAGAACTCCGGTGTTCCAAACAGAAGTTTGACAGATTTCTTCGGGTCCAGTTTTCTTGCTAGTCCAAAGTCAATTATCTTCACGTCAGTCGAGTTTTTGGACTTCAATAGAATGTTTTCCGGCTGAAAATCAATTATACAGACTCACAATCGTAAGCGACTCGAATCAGCTTTAACCTAGTGGAAGAACTAGATACGAAGACAATGAAGAAGATGATGAGTGAAAAGCTTTTTCAGTTTTTTTTTAGAAAATACAAGGTGATTACCTTCAAATCCAAATGAACTATTTGGTTTTTATGCATGTGCTGAACGCCGAGAAGAATTTGGTGCATGTAATCTCGAACCTCCTGCTCGCTCATAAGCGAATCATCCTCCATAATTTTATCAAATAATTCTCCTCCAGACACACTAAAACAGAGACTTCGTAGCAAAATCTCTCTATAGTAGACTGAAGGAGAAATCCTCACAATTCTTCAATCAGACACATCTCATTGCCCAAATCAAATGCTTCATGCAAATGTAGCAGCTTCTCATGATTCAGCTGATCCATGACTGTGATTTCATGAAGGACATCTTCCCGTTTGACTCCGGGACGAACCTAAAGTGCAAGGAAGGCGCATATTGAAGCAAGCCACCACTATTTTAAAGTCACAGTTCATGATAAAAATCGTTCCTCGGATTTTCCCATAGAACGAATTTGGGACCCTCCTCTAATACCACATCTGACGCTATCAAGTCAGAAAACGGCCTAGTCAGGGAGTTATGAAGACTCAAAGATTGGCCCGTGTGTATCNTTGGACGAGTTTCACCGGCATTGTAGAGACTGTACCGATCACAAGGGAACCCATGTAGGAAGTTCAAACAACTTGTCATTACCCATAGCGACAGTGAAAGACGTTCTGTACAGTTCCAGACTGATGTAGTCAGTTCTTTGCGCAATTGCAATAGAAGTTTGACAGATTTCTTCGGGTCCAGTTTTCTTGCTAGTCCAAAGTCAATTATCTTCACGTCAGTCGAGTTTCAATTTTTTTTGAAATCTCGTCCGAGTACCCCTTCCATGTTATTTCCGTTATCGTAGTCTCGTCCTACCTCTATTTTCCCTACTTCTGAGGAGCCGGAACTGAACTTCTGAGGAACTTTCTCGAAATCGGCGAATTCTCTCGCTTTCTTCACTACCGATGAACTACTTCCAATCTATACTTCCGCTTTTTGAATAAAAACGGGTATCTCAAAATTATCGTGAACTGTGCCTTCAAGCAAGCCACTGCTATTTTAACAGCTAAAGAGCAGCGGAAAAGTATCAGTGCAAATTATAGATTTCTGCCTCACACAATGGCAGTGTGAAGCGACTCATTCTGCATTCATAATTTCCGAGTAATGTGCAATGCTCTAACATACTACCTTTTCACAATCGCCTCGAAACTACCTGCATGGGCAACCAACGAACTGCCCACGGGACGAGCTACCCGTCTTTAGCTGCATTTTGAAAACTCTGAAAACCTATCTCAAAACTATACATTACCTGCACCATTTTCGCGGCCCACGTCTTTCCAGTAGCCTTCTCTATAGCGCGGTATACAGTACCATAAGCGCCTTGTCCAAGTTCTTCACAAATGATGTACTAAAATGAAATTACGGAATATATTTAAGGTTTAATAGCTCAAATGCTGAAAAACAGGGCGGAAAAGAAAAAATAGGAGTTGCGAACCTTAGCCTGGAGATCGTTTGGAAGTCGATTTACATCGATAGGTTTATGCTTGGATAGGTCGACATTTGTGTCAAGCCTGTCATAGTTGATTGCCTCAGATTCTTCATGACCAGCCTTCTTTTTTGGTTCCTCAACAGCTCGGGAGACACCCTAAATGTGTTTTATGGCTCTGAATAGATTCGAGCTCCCATTATTTTTGCGAATCACCCCAATGACCCCAACTGTGTGCACCTCGGTGGTAAAGAGGTCTGTGGATTTTTGGTTCACTACATTTTTGGATAAATTGAGTCCCTGAGTCATTCGCACTAATCTTGAAGGCACAGTTCACGATAATTTTGAGGTACTCCTTTTTGTTCGAAAAGGAGAAGTACAGATCGGAAAGAGTTCATCGGTAGTGAAGAAAGCGGGATAATTCGCTGATTTCGAGAAAAATATGTCTCTTCGAAATTAGGGAATATAGAATTTGGACGAGATCGCCATGACGGATATAACATGTAAGGGGTATTCGGACGAGACTTCAGTTATTGCAATTGCACAAACAGGTGATCACATCGAGCCAGAACTGTACAGAACGGACTTTCACTGTCGCTATGGGCCATGACAAGCTGGAACTTCCTACATGGGTTCCCTTATGATCTGTGCAGTTCCTACAATGCCGGTGAAACTCGTCCGAGGATACACACGGGCCAATCTTTGAGTCTTTACAACTCCCTAAGTAGGCCGTTTTCCGACCTAATAGTGCCAGACATGGTATACGCGGTGAACTCAAATTCATCCTATGGGAGGGATCTCAGAAACTATTTCATCGTGAACAGTGCCTTTAAGAGTTGCACATATCAAACCCTCGCACTGAGCGCTTGATCTCTCGACGATTGGACAAAATCCAGAACGTGAACGGGCCAGCTTTCTTCAAATGGGAGGGATCTCAGAAACTATTTCATCGTGAACAGTGCCTTTAAGAGTTGCACATATCAAACCCTCGCACTGAGCGCTTGATCTCTCGACGATTGGACAAAATCCAGAACGTGAACGGGCCAGCTTTCTTCAAGCACCTCCGCGCAACTAACAAATGTACTAGCCAACTAAATTCAGCGGTTATTCTCCGAGAGAAACTTAGTGAGTTGAGCTTCCCTGGAGGCTATTATTTTGGCGCGACAAGACGGCACAGCGCGTTTTGCACGAAAAAAGCTGAACACTTCTTTGAATAAACAGAAACACTGAAACAAACTTGACCTTTTCTTTATAAATGCTTCAATGGACTAGACATTTACCTTCACATAAATGACGTCCGATTCTTCTGATGGCTCCGACTGTCCCAATGTGTTGTCAGCTCTGATACGAAACAGATACGCTTCTTCATGTTTCAGGTTGAACAGAGTGACAAAGGGTTGTTTTGTAGTTTCGGCCTTCGTCCACACTCTTTCAGATTCCTGAACGCATTAGTAGAAGTTGATCAGCTGTCTGTTGATTATTTGAGGAATTACAGAAATCAATGAACAGAGCCTCATAAATTCTATGAGTAGATTCCCTTTGAAAAAACTTGAGATTCTCGCTCACAGTGCACTTTTCCACAGTATAGAAACGGACAGGTGAGCCGCCATCCTGAGTGGGAGCCGACCACAACAATCGCACGGAATCAACGTTTTG